GGGGGGGGGGGGGTCGAATAAAGTGATGCTCGTATCTCTAATACAAGAGCAGTGAAGAAGCTATGTTCGGTATATTTGTCCATTACTCCACCAGACCTATCTATGATGTCAGTATGAACTTATTTTGTTGACCCCCTTCCGTTGACATTTTTAACATTTTGCCCGGTTTTCTGGCAACCACTCTTAATAAAAATTTCCTGCGAAAATTAACGATATGAAAGTTATAACCCTGTTCTTTACTTTCCGATGTTAGCAATCTTATTAGTAGAAGTCGCTACTTTAGGAAAATCGTTATTTCCACGAGTCAAATACTTTTACCTTTATAGACTTAAGCGAAATACTCCAGTGCAAATGTAGTTACAACACAATATATTCCGCGAATGTTTCGCTGTAAAAGTGAGAACTGGCTCGGTATTAGCCTGCGTGGCAGGCGTTAAAAGGAGAAGGGGAAGGGGAAGGGGGAATTTGGGCCCGCGAGGGAGAAATGAAAGCAGTCTCGCACCCTAATTCCCTTGCCCTTCCCTTTCGAACACCTGCTACGCAGGCTAGCTCGGTATATGACTACAGACTTATAACTTGCTTACTAAATAAGGACCTCTCTCCTCCGGAGAGGCTCTCGCTTGGTAGCATTAATATTCCCATCGTCCCCGGCGCGCTTACTTTTTTCCCTGTCCCCAGCCTCCCTACGACACAGTGAGGCCTCTGCGAAGAAAAGACACAAGAGAGATTGAACATCGCCTTTACGGCAAACGGCAAACGTGAGTTTCAAGATGAGACACTTTCAAAATTATAGAGGAGCAAATAAAAACAAGGCAAAACAATTCTTATGGATGGAATTGGCGTGAACTTACGATTTTCGTGTAGTTATAATGAACAGTAACGACAAGTAAAATAATGAAAAAATTTGCATAGTCACGTGGTACTAATTCACTTTTGCCGTTTGCTGTAAACGCGATGCTTAATCTCTCTACTAAGAACTAAAATAATAATCATTGTTTTTGGAAACACCTCTTTAAATCACACCAATAATGTCGACCGTATTCCAGTACATTGACAATTTTCCAACTATCCGTCAGTGATGAAGTTATTTCATTTTTTGAATTCTGAGGAAAACGAACGTTCCCATCCCTTTTACATGAGCGTCACCTCCCCCCCTCTCCCCGGGACAATTCTTGCGCACACCTGGCTCTGTGTGTCCTTTTGATGGGGTTTGGACACTTGTTCAAAATGTTGAACTTTCTGCTTTTGAGCGCGCATCCTTGTAATCATAGCATGATGCCGAAAGTTCAGCTGTCGTTAAAACGTCGTGCTCAATTGGTGGTTAAGAAATTTTACTCCTTTTCCTGCCTCCACACAAACAAATTAACCCCACAACGTTTTAATGTTTCTAGTACAATATAAGCAGCAACGACAAGTTCTAAACGGCTCCTAATCTGTTAGGAACCTGGTATTATGAAGTTATGAACAATCTTTGAATACTGAAAGAAAGTTGTTGAAAACCACATTTGAGACATTTTTATAACAGTTTTTTTTTCATTGAAATCAGTGAAAAATAAATTTTGTAGCATTAGGTATGCTAAAAAAATGTCCATTTTGCTGGCATTTGCTCAATGCTATAACATAATACTGCCCAAAATTATGCCGGCATAATGGGTTTAACCCTCCTTTTGATGCCCGTATTAAGGAGATTTCACAACTTTTTTTAGACATAACTTAGATCAAATAATTAACATAGAACCAGCAGCAGGCCGTTGACCATCTTTGTTTGGTATTTAGAAACGGATCGCACCAACGTATGTTGGGTGGAGGAAGGATGCAGTTCACTCAAACCCCCCACTTGTTCCGGTTGAATCTGCACCTCAACAAAGGCTGTTACACCGGTTCAGCTAAACTGGATGCTGAGCTTAATAATGCACCAGCTTCCTGTAATCCACCATGTTTCCGCATCATGTTGCCTGGGGAATACTGTTATATGGGCACGCGCAATAACAACTTCTCTAATCGACGTCACATGGGAAAGATCATTGTGTCCCAAGGCACCGTTTTCCCAAAGCTAGACTACGGGGTGAAGTCACTCCCGGGGAAATCTTGTTAAGATATCAAGGACAGAGTGAAAGAAAAACGTGCGAATGGAATCTTCTGGATTAAGCTGAAACGCAAAGGTTAGTTAGGCTGGCCTGTGCCCCAAAGTTTTTGTTTCTGTTACGTTGTAACTTTTGGTTCAATGAACACTCCTTTAAAACTGCGTCAATTTTTTATTACTGCTTATAATGTTGGATTCTGGTAAAATTCTCATCGGAGGCCCATTAAGTCTGTAAATCTACGAATTTCATCATAACTTACAGATTTCTCTAGTCTGTAACTTATTCTAGTGATGTCAAAGTATATACAAGTAAGATATTACACGTGACATTAGGCTCCTGATGCATGACGTGACATAATTATTATTGATACCAATGTAATATTAAAATTAGGTTTGTATGTGTTTGTATCAGACGCGCATCGACGGAAACCATACAATGCAAACGTCATATTTTGTTTGCTCCTTCTGTAGGTTAACAAGATCCGAGGTTTGTTTTAGCACCAAAGTGCCAGTTAAACCCGAGGGGCAAATTCTGATTCAGCTTTTTGTTGAGCCACTTGGGCACAATTTGGACTAAAACAGCCCGTTCAAGGAAACCTGCACCGGTCTTATTGGTGTTCCAAACTAGTCCTGTGAGAGTTGAATCCTTTTGATACTTCTTATGTTAATTACTTTTTTTTAGACCTCTTGCAGTCCGCCTTTTCTCTTAACATCCGCCTAGTTATTAGCTCATCCAGCGCGTGTTGACAGATCATTGACTGGTCTGTGGAGATTGCAAGCGAAAAAATTAGTTACACGTCACAACCAACTACGAACAAACCAAGCGGTAATCGTTGTTAAACTAAAACGTTCAAGGATTTCTTAGAGAAGGAAACTGCTGTGAATTTCCTCAAGGGAAAGGAAAAGCAATTCAAGGCAATCTTAACGGATTTAAAGAAAGTGTTATTTTTCAGTTATATATGTTCTATTAAATCGTTTGAAGTTACTTGAGTTAAATTACCTTAAAAGTTTGTGACAGCTTTGTTATCCCCAGACAGAACAAAAGAGTCAGCAGCCTCTTATTTTTTCTTCTTGGGGCTTTTTAATTAAGCCCTCGTTTATCGCGGCTCGCATGCTTAGGTTTTGCTAGACTTGCCTCAAGTCGACGTCACGAGTTTATTAAATAGGACGAAGGTTTTTTTTTTGAAAGTCTATGGTTTCACGTTCAGTAACTTTGCAAAGAGAAATAAGAGACTGCTCACAGTCTCCGTTTTCTTTTGTTCCAATAAATTTGCAAAGATGCTGGCCACATGAGTTGAAACGCTCTATACTAAGGCTCTTACACCTGCACTTTACATGCTGTTATTGAATTTCATCAAGGACTTTATTTTCTGTGTATAAAAGGATGTTCAGAAGCCCTTTGGATGCAGAAGAAAACCATAACCGATGCTCAGACTACAGCTTCCAGCAGTTGGAACTCTGCACACGGCCCATCCAATGCCAGGCTCCATTTCCGGAGTGGACATGGTAAAACTGGCGCATGGTCGGCCAGAACTAATGACAAAAATCAGTGGCTGCAAGTGGATCTTGGCAAAAAATTGGAGGTGACAGCAATACAGACACAGGGACGATACGACGCTAATCAATGGGTCATGAGCTACACTGTTTCCTACAGCAACGACGGCAAAACCTTCCATCCCTATCAGAATCACAAGGTATATGAAGCCAAATGAAACCCGTGACAAAAGCAAAGCAGGCAGTTACGTGAAAGTTCGAAATAGCGTCGCCAGTATGAAAAAAAAAAACTGCCCCTTGTAAAGTCATCCCGATCCCCGAATTCGGGATCCGGAATCCAGAATCCAGGGCTTTGGAATCCGGACTTCAGCTCAAGGTATCCAGAATCCTGCTAACAATTGGAATCCGTAATCCATGAGTTCCAGTGACAAGAAATCTAGATTCCATGTCCTGGATTCCAGCCTGAATCCAAGTCTGTCTTGTGTTACCTTACATGGGGCGAAATGAAACTCCCCCTTTTATTAAACACCCCTCTCCCTCAGAAGAGAAGGAGAGGGAGCTTTGTACCATTCACGTCAACATGTTTTGTTACTACTGGCACTGATACGTTTAGTCGCTTGAATGAAATAAGTGCAATTTCATAGGCGACCCCTCGCGGCGCAGACAATGAAGTAAGCACCCCGGGTGCTAATTTGAACCTTTGTTGCATCTAAATTTTACTTGCAGGATTTACCCAATTTTTTCTCTCCACAAAAAGGAAAACACGCAAAATTTATTATGACCAGGATCTTTAAAGTTTAATAACATTTCATTTACCGCTGCAGGTTTTTCAGGCAAACCGGGACCGTCACACTGTGGTTAAGAACAATTTGCAGCCTACCATAGTTGCACGCTACATTCGGGTACATCCTAAGACATGGTATAGCCATATTTCTATGAGGATGGAACTCTTGGGATGTCCGTTTGGTAAGTACTGAGTATTTATCTTCACTTCAATCAACATCCAGCCTTTTCTTTTGCTCTGCGAGCTGGAATAAATTTGGGGGGCGCAACATTTGAGCGATCTTACAACTGTAAACACCTCGTACAACCTGAGTCTGGAATTAGAAGGGTGCATAACCAAGGGCGTTTTGAGCGACGCGTGTCAACCAGAAGTGAAGTCTTTTTCATTTTAGAATTCCTTGACGATATCAAGTTTCTTTACTGTTGTAGAGACTATTTGCCGGACGTGAGTCGCTCAAAACGTCTTTTAACTAGCCCGGGACCACGCTCCTTGGAAGGGAAAAGGCAAAAATGGACTAGCTACTGCCACTAGTACATTCTTGCTAAAATCCGTAGTAGAATGATGACGCCTATCGTGTTTTCCTGCCAAAATGAAGCTGGTTCATGTGCGCACACTTCTTTGTATTGGACAAAATCTCGTCCTCGTTGTCGTCCTGTCGTCTTAGAATTTAAAGGTCTCTAACATATCTGATTTTACCAGTGACGTCAGCAATGTTACGTTTTATGCAGCTGACTGGACCTAAAGTCATTACAAAAGTTCATGTGACCTCATCAATGTTTCTGTATTCAGTTCAAAAACAATCCAGTGGATATTAGCCCTTGCAGCTTCACCAAAGGCCTGTTAGCAATGCAAGCCTTAAGTATTTATATTTCAATACAGGGCACTTAGGGTCCTAAATATACGGGGTACCCGGCCTTTAACAACGAAAAACGAGGAATATATAATATCCGTGGGGCCAAAGGCGCAAACTCTAGTATTTCTTTACAAATCTGTCCAAATTTTTGTATGGTGTAAATTATGCACTTTCACGCTGATGAAATTGACCTTGTTCGGGAGTTTCCAAGTATTGCTGACTGTTGGAGGGAAACCAAGCGGATGGAATGAAAAGTCCTATATATAAACAGCATGTGAAAATAACTCTAACCTATGCCACTGATATTAATATTATAAAGGAAATAAAGGGAGATGTAAAGAATCATCCATAAGAGGACACAGAAAAACTTTGAGCCCCAGATGGGATTCGAAACCATATCATATATTCTTTTTTTCAACCCTTCAACGATCTTCAATTCCTAATATGTAAATGAGAACTCAAATTTTCTCTTGTTTCTTTTATAGTCCCCCAAACTGCATTTCCATGTTTTCTGTGATATGGACGCTGGAGGTTAGTGACATAGAGCCATTATCTAGTGAGGAATGAATATTGATACACCTTTCGAGATCTGCATAAGTCTTTCTTGTCTTTCGAAATAAACGCTTTAGTATTTGGAATAAGGAGAATTTTAACACCAGAAAGCTCAGACGACAAATTTTGAACTCTAGGTGCCAATCGAACCCAAGAGTTCGAGTCTGGATGCTCTAACTGACTCAGCTATAAAAAAGCTATTGGATAGTCTATGGCGAGCAGAATAGAAATTTAATTGTAACTACTGTTTATTTCAAATATTTTCAAGTTCACAACACCCTTAGCTTTAAAAAATCGCCAGTTCTTCAGTCAGCCTTCAGTCGACATATTTCTTTGGCTTTTTGTGTTATTCTTTTCTATACTTTTCTTTCCTGAGTATTAAGGTTATTATGTCTCGACCCTCTCCTCTGTCTTATTTTTGAACTGGTCCATGAAAGGTTTGGAATTTCCGACAGTGCTTCAAGCCTTGTTGGCAGCGATTTTGAGAGGAAAAAAATGCAACGTTTGTTGCTTCCGTGGCGTCTTCTTTGAAAGCGGTGGGGCTTGAGAACAAAACGCAGATCCGCCACTTTGTAAATTAGAATGTAGATCTCTTACTGAAATTTTTGACGTCATAGTTCTTGATCGATTCACTGTGATTAACGCTTTTTATCTAGGCTGGACGATGGTATTTAAGGCTGTGGGCGGAGTGGAGAAAAATGTGTATGAAGTTTATAAATCTGATCAAACCTCCCCCGAGGATGAAGTGGAAGCTCTTAACGTCCCAAGTACCGCGATCACTACAATAACCGGATAGTCTTGAAGTGGGAAATGTTTGACGCATCTGGGGTACTCCAAACAATCGCAAACTTGCGCCTAGAAAGATGTTATGCGTAATACTGTGTAACTGCTTAATTTAAACTGGATAACTACTGCAGAAATGTCTTGACCGCGGGAAATATGTGCATAACTAAAGTTGAAATATGTTTCATTACTAGGCTCGAGTTGGTCTTTATGAAGGAGGAAAGTCAAAGGTGGAACTGAAATTCAACGCCAAGGAGACGAACAACCAAAACTAGTTTAGCGACTCCAAACTGACTCACAGCAGCCAGTGGTCTGATATCAAAACAGAGTCAAAGAACTACTTTTCAATCAGTGGAGACACAACAAAGAAGCGGTACTTCAATCAATCGGGGATATGCAGGAAATTGCGCCGGTGATACCGGGTGGATGGTAATTGCCGGGAAAGAATGTGACTGGGAGAGGGGTCACCAATACGAAAACCCAATACTGTACAGCAAGGTATCTAAATACACTAAATGGGAGGAGAAAAGTGAGTCAACCAACACATTGCGTCTGTTGACATTAATTCAGCTTCCGAAGTGTTTCTAATCTTTTATTTTTTGGCGAAAAGTTAAAAAAGAGCAAACTGGTAAAAAGGAATAGAATTCTTGGTTATTGGAATATTATCACACTCATTGGGGGATGGAGAGGGGGTTGAGGGTTGCGGGTTGCGGGTAGCGGGAGATTATTTATGGGGTTGATGACGAAAGATCCACCCCACGTGACAACCATTAAGACTGCTGTGTAGGCGACTACCTGTATAGCCTGAGCACCGACGTCTCACATTTCCTTGTTGTCTCTCTCCGAGAACAACAAACGACACAGAAGAAGTCTACACGGAGCCCCTAGCGACTATACCGCTCCCGCTGAAAATTATTTTGTTTGTACAAAACCTTTACAGTCGCTTGTGAGTGACAGGAACGCCTAAACGAACGAATTTTCAACCGGTCGAAAATTCGTCCGTTGCCGTGTGAACACAGTCTCAGTCAGAAAGGATCGGGACGCTCACTTCGTCTTGAAAGATCAAGAGCGAAAACACTTTTTAATTCCCTCAAGGAATGAACAGACTTGACCAAGCTCGCTGATAGCGGATATTACCTAGTTATCTATACCAATGGTTATCTGTTTTTTTAAAAAAATGTTCAAACTTTTACTCTGTAACGATCTGTTTCAGGTCTACATTTTAAGTTTTCTTTCTCATTTTAAGCCCCTGAGGAAGGTTTGTCTTGCAAACCGAAATATCCTCAAGTTTTTTTCTTTTAAATTTTATACTCGAATGCAAGCTTGTCTAGTTAGTTGCCCCGTCGATATTGACTTTTGTTTCCTTTCATTTGTGTTCTGGTTGTAATTAGCAGCTAATTTTTGATCGGCTAGTTTAATCTGCCGACTAGTATAGTAGGTGATCTCCAACATGGAAAGAGCTGTAAGGTATTACTCTTTTTAATTCTATTTTCTTTATTTTCTTCCAGATGACGTAGGGGAGGCAGACGTCTTGGCAGTGTTCTTGCGTTAAGACGAAACCAGAAGCCTTATTGGACGAAACGAAACGATGACCTGAACTTATAACATTATTCCCTCTTCTGAACCCCTTGTAGCATTGTACTAAGACTGGTGTAGTGGTATAGTTTTTACATAGCTCTGATAGTGTAGTCCACTGTAGGAAATATAAAGTAAAGCATCTGAAGAGTAACAAGTGTCTGTGTATTTTTAGGCCATTATAGTCACTACTGAATATGGATTCAGAGTAGAATCCAGGAAAACGCTTGACATTTTCCCAATAACGCGCGCTGGTGCCGGCGCTACGCCTAGGAAAAGCCCCCGAGGCCATGTATCAAGGGAGGATTGAATAGTGCATCTCTGGTAAAAACATACTTGTTAACTCCTGAAAGTGCGTTTTTGCTTTGTTTCTTCCTTAAACGGTGGAAACCGGCTCGGACCATCACCTGTAAGTTTCGGTCATGATTAAAGGAGATTTCACCGTGATTGTTACTGACCGTCACGAGCTGTCCACCATTAGAAGGAGTTAGTTTGATAGCGCGTTCCTCTCAAGTAGATAAAAGCCTAGTTTCCTTCATATTTTGAAGGTGGATGGTTTTATTTGGTAAAAAAGCTACCTTAACCTCCCATATTATTATTTCAGTTAAGCCGTGGCCAAGAAATAATTCGGAATTAATAACAGTGATTTTCCAATTGCTTTAGGAACTGAGCCTTGACCAGTCTGAGACCAAACACAATTAAAAATACTAGTCAGAATGTAGGGAAAAGCACTTAATGAGTGGCCCCGATGGCAACAGTGGGACCAGTCATTTAGTGCTTTGTGTACCCGCCAACTTTAAAATAAAACAATTACAAATGCAATAAATTATCCTTTTTTACGGTTGACTGAGAAAATTTTATTTGCTGGCACGACTGGCGCATCCGGTTTTCAAGGTACACGATCTGGTCACATGCAAGTGAGTTCTATTGTCTTAGGATAACACCCTCCTCGATCTCCATAATTCTTCAGATGATACGAAAGCCGAATTGTGCAATAATTGTTTTATTGTTCATTCAAAACAATGCCTAAACAAGCTTACCTTCGTCGATGTTGAGTTCATCTCGAGAGTGTATGTTTATCGGGAATTTTAGGAGATAAAGAGCTGTTCAGGTCTGCAAATATACTGCAAATAGCAGATGCCGCCTGTGGAGTTGTCTTCTTGCTATGTTTTTAGACATTAGTTCGCCGTGAAACGAGTAAAATGTTCCGCCATTTTGTACTCACCACCAAAACAACTCAAATTAACTCGACCCCAGGTCTTCCCGACTAACGGTTCGATCATCTGTCAATTTTGCTCAACACTTGACGTCATCAGTTCAACATCGCAAAATTCTTCCAAATTTTGTTCGACAATAGCTGGTTATGGTGACTTATGCCTTGAATTTTAGCCAATCAGAAACGGAGAAATATTTTGAATGAATAATATAAT